TTTTTTGCCTAATGTCAGGCACACTGTCTAATGTATTCTTTGCATAATTCTTCGTACAATCCTGTAAAGTAAATTGCACTGTGCACTTTGCACTTTATGTACCCTGTACCCTGTACCCTGTCAGAAATGTCTATGTCTTCAAGGCATTGTTATGTCAGTGCCTTGTCTGTATTCACACCGTAGACCTGGAGAACTATACCTCGCTCCTCTGTATACTTGTATATGGCTGGAATGACAAAAAAACTTGATATTGTGCTAGGAGGAAAGTAAACTTAGAGGAAGTCACAGATGATCAAAGGGTGTTCAGAATTATTTAAGGAAATTAATTAACTCCATGTAAAATAATTAAAACCACTATGTTAAGGTTAATTAACTTTACAGTAAAAACATAGCCCTCATCAGAATAGACTACAGTATAAATACAGGAATAGAGAAGGACAAGAGAGAAGAAGAGAACAAACAGGAACCAGAGTTTTGGAAGAGCTTCTTTTTCTAACCAGTAATTGAACCAATAGATGACCAGGTAATCTGAAGGCTAAAAAAGCAGACTTCATCATTTTAGGAAATTCTGATTTCCTATATTGTTTATATTCTGTATAAATTCTGATTTCCTATATTGTGGAATCCTCAGGCTAATATTCTTTCTAATTTAAGTGATACATTTTTAGAATATGGAAATTAGTTCCCACTCATTTGTGTAAGTTTCAGGAAAGGAGATTTAATCTTGTGTAAAATCAATTTTCCTTAAGATTTAGATTTTCAGGTTTCCTATATTTGTCATTTTAGGTGTTTTATTTCAGGTCTATTCGGGATTTCTCTAGGTCTTTGGTAAGTAAGACATAAAGTTTTACATTAAAGTGATACCACAGGGGCATCATACTTAGTATTTGGAGGCCTTGGATCTCTTCATGTGAAATTCATGTGATCTGGTTATTGGTCGAAGTAAATGCTGTATATGTACATTGAGTGGATATATTGATATACAGTGGACCTGTACATTGAGAGGATATGATTAGGAACTGAAGCTGGAAGGAAAAACAAGACGCGATCTGGGCATTGAGGTTGACAGCCCTTGTCTTGAGTCTGCACTTGTGGACATGTCCCTCTTTTATGTGCTGTTCTCTGAAGCAGGAGTAGTACAACGAGTAAGCTGATATTCTGTGTTTTCTTCCTTTACTCGTGCAGGAGCAGATCCCTGACCTGCACAGCCACTTCATGGGCATAGGTCTGGAGGTACACATGTACGCCTCCCAATGGTTCCTCACTCTCTTCACTGCCAAGTTCCCCCTGTGCATGGTCTTCCACATCACTGACCTGCTTCTGTATGAGGTGAGAAACTTATACTCGATATGGGTGGTTTTTGAACAGACTATTCAGGACAGGACCATAAGGAACAAATTTATACTATAGTGTATCTCTCCATTATAACTATAACTGGCAGGTTTGAGAGGTTGGACTGATAATTAATAACTGAGAATCTGCACAATCCAGACAGCAGGAATTAGCAACAGGAACACCAGCTGGTTTTCTTACACTGGTCTCCTGTTAGCTAATGGAGACAATCACATTTAAACTACAGAACTGCGCAGCAGGGAGATCACAGCAGGCCAACTCTGGCAAGATCAGAAAAGCCCAAGGCAACACTAAGAAAAAAATCCAGTATTTCATCCGTTCTTAAATGCTTTACATCTATGCTACAGGCATAAAGAATAAAATGCAAGAAATCTAGGCTGCCATATTAATAGAACTGAGGAGTAACTGAAATTTCCAGGGAGGATGACAGGGAGCGATAGATGTTAGTGAAACAGTAGCTTCATTTCGTTTATTGTACTACGTTTTTTAAATCCATTAATATGGAATCACATGACTAAGGGGGAATTTTGGTAGCTGAAAATAAAAATAACTAAACTATAATAACATTACTAAACGTCATTTTTAATATTAGTTTATGAATATAAATATAACCCATTTATATAGTTTATAAAGCTGGTTGTGGTAGCTGAAAATAAAAAATAAGGTACAGTACATAACAGTATTCCACCTTCCTCCAGAAGCCATTTCTGCCTGGATTGATGTCCCCTTTAACATATTGTAATATCTCTGGAAGTATAGACAGTAGAGGCCAAATTTAGGGCTTAAATGGAAGCAAACCCTCTTGGGCATTGTGTAAACTAGAGTTTTTAATTAATGACAAAAACACAAGTAACTCAATCTTCAAAGATCAATTTTTCTAGCTGAAAATGCTTGCCCTATGTATCTACTAGCTAGCATAAAAATGTAAGACAAACGGAACAAATATAAAACATGACCTTTACTGTGAAGACAGGACCAGGAATGGTATTGCTCACATACCAAGAATATTTATAAAAATCATGGAAAATAATAAAAAGATATAAAAGGTATTCCAATTACTATAGAAATTATCTAGGTACTGATAGAGAGAATATGTGTTGGTTTTAGACAGTAAAATAGATCCTGGCTAGACTCAAGGTGTAAACTGATGACCACTGATAAGAATCTAATTTATAAGATCACTTTATTAGCCATATACAATTTCTTGTATTAGGAATCTTTTCACATACCCCAACTTACTCTCCAAGAGTCACACAGACAGGGAGAGAAGCTTGGGCTCAGAGCGCAGGGTCAGCCATTTATATAGGTTTCTGTTAGTAGGCACAGGTCAGAGTTGTTGTCAAGTACCATATCATTAACCAGAACTGATTTGTTGCCTTGTGAGCAAACATTCACAGTGTCAATTTTCAAAAACCCTGCAATAAAGCTTTGTGCACTTTCTTTACTACAGTCAGTTTTAATGTGTATTAATGTATTTCTGGGGCTGTAATGTATTGTGCATGTGTGTGCAACCTGCTGTGGATTGGTTCCTGTTTAGGATGTAATCCTGTCTTGTGCCTGTTATGGACGTGGTCTGCAGTCCGTGTCGGGTTTTGTTGTAGACCTTATGCGATGCAGTAAGAGCTGGAGAAAACGGGAGGCGTGATATGGGAAGACACACAGGGGTTTAATGGTGCACAAAATAATAGTGACAGTACGTGAGACAAAGAATGGCATCCAAATCCGAGCAGGTCCGAATGCAGATCAGGGCACAGTCCATGATTCCATCAACAATAAATCCATCCTCTGGTGCAACAAGGTTAAAATCTCCGGGAAGGGGGAAAACACAAACACAAGCAAAACATAGAGGTCCTTGGATGACGGGGCGAGTTCCTCCATACCCGGGCTCAGGAAACGGGAGGTGTCGGGGATGAGGCCTATGCCCTCAGGAGACGGACGTAGGGTATCCTGGTTCTAGGTGGGCCTCGCGACATCCATACCCTAATGTTTAGCCCTGAGGACTGGAGGAGCTAGACTTTAAATAGCGGTAGACATAACAGGGTACACCTGGGGAACATAGCAACAATCACAGAACTAATAACAGAAGTAGTGGAACGCCCTTTAGGGGAGAAATGTCGGACATAACAATCAGTACATGAAAAATAATCTACAAGCTACCACTGAAGCAAGAACATACATTTGGTTACAATCTTTGAGTTAAACTAGCAGAAATGTGAAGAACGTGTGTGAAGCAGAAATGTGAAGAGCGTAGAACATCTGAAAGGTTACAAATTAGATGATCATTCATGTAGTCTGGTAGTTCGTAGTTCATTTAATCAAGGATCTCATTCAGCCATTTCTGGAAAGTAGCTGGGGTATTAGCTTCAACAATATTGTAGTTAAACAGACCAAATGACTGTTTTTATTGTTATTATTTTAAAGATAGTACACTGCAAAGATTGATATGTTCTGTCAGTGTTATATGTCAGTTTTTGGAGTATCATTATGTCTGTGTATTGTTTTTATTATCTTTTATGTCTATGAGCTGTATTGGCAACTTAATTTCCCCCTTGGGGATTAATAAAGTGAATCATATCATAAAAGGATCTCAGCATTTATGTAGATTCTTCCATGTCTACAAGAAGATAATGTAGGGAAGCAACAGGAAACCCAACAGAATGCTTGGGTGTATAGCAAAAGTTATGAAATTTAAATTCAGTGAAGTTATACTCAAACTTTTCAATGTTTTGGTAATGCCTCATGTTTGATATTGTTTTTGTAATTTTGTAACCACAAAAATATTTAATGCATCATTCCTGACCTCAGGGATGTATCTTATATAGACACGTTAAAGGAACTACAAAATATCTTAACAGTCTACGATAAAACAGGGGAGATCTGAAGACCATTTTTGTTTTAGTTGTATTGTCAGGGGTGCCTTCTACCGAGCCATTTCATATCATTGGTTTAGCCAGCACACCTATACAGTGCCTTTCTAAAGTATTCAGACCCTTTCAAATTTTTCACATTTTGTTGCTTTAAAGTTTCCAGTCATGACGCTTCAAAGTAACAATTATTATTTGTTATGCACAACTTAGCCAGTGTACATCATTCATAGAGAGAGTTTTGAATAAAATATTAACTTAAAAAATTGTATGCATGACTTTGTAATGTCTTGAAACAGGAAACTATAGAAAGGGTCTAAATAGTTTTGCAAGGCACTGTAAATGTAATGCTCAAACTGTTAAACACATTTCCATTTTAATTGGTCTGTCTTAGTCTTTCAACTGCAGGTCATTTTTTAAGGCAAGCATAGCTTCTTCCTTCTATGGAGACACAGTGGTATGCTGCTGTGTTAGAACACAGCTTTGTTTGTTGTTTGTTAAAGCAAGCAATGTGCAAAAGCACAAATATTCTGCTGTATATATCAATTATTCTTTTAGATCCATTGCACAATATGTCCATCCAAAGTTGAGATACATTTCAACCTTTCTTGGAAGTGTGTGTTGGGGGTCATCATATTTGCAGAATGATGTTCAGCTAGATCACTTTCTTTCCAGATGGAATACTTTCAGCGATTCTTGACTTCCTTACATTTGATGAAAAGGGTCAATGCTGAATTTTGAAATTGTGTCCTGTGTTTTACAACCTAAGTAGGAGTTCTCTTTGATCAGAAGTATGTTATGTATGGTATGTTCTTTTTCTTGTGTGAGTCCTCTTTTTAGAATGTGTAAGTAACAACCACAGAACCTATTTATCTCTGGTTTGTGAGATAAAATAATATACATCTGTAGGGGTTTTGTGCATTTACTGGGACAATTATTAATTTTAGCAGTAAGTCACAAAATGATTCTTCGATGGTTATTAGAAAACTGACCTCGCGGAATAACTCAGCAATGAGAATACATTTATTAATATATAAATGTGCATATAAACATAACAGATCTTATAGTGAGCGTTAGCAGAATACAAAAAGTATATATTGAATAACGAAGAGTTACAAATACCAAGAGACACATACATTCAGTATACCATTCATTTATACCGTTTCATTAATGAGCTTTGATTACAACTTCTACACTAGATACTCAAAAGCAAGTACGTCACTCATAGGAATTAAATTGACATCAACTGGGGCTGAGGTAACAACTGAATTCTCGAGCTGTAATGCAGAATGTTGAATACTCATCCAATCTATGTGGATCCAGATCTCCCGCAGACACAAAGGAACAGCAACAGGCTGTGGCTGCATCCAATCGGCATCCTCTGGGCTGGTGCCAGGCAGTCCTGGTGCGGCTGGAGGTGTGGGAGAAGGAGGGAGAGATTCCTGCCGCAGCGCACTGGCAGTGACTCTCTGAAGACCAGCATGTTAGTCCTGGCTGGACTAGCAGATTTTTTGCACATGAAAAGTGAGTGCGGGTCCAAGCAAGTCACACTCTTTAGACGGGAAGAAGACCGGTTTGTTCCCGATGTAGCGCTAGTCCTGAATACTGAGATTCAGCTGTTGACAGTTCTGACCATAGTTCACTTGATCAGACGAGCATTCGCAGTGGGTTACCAGCGGTTCACGAGGCTTGCTGCTGGGCTAACCTCAGGTGTATTCTTTGGGTACGCACGGGCAACCTCCAGTTTTGACTCTTAGAACAAAGTTAAGTCCTGGCACTCGGACACACTGGCTGTCAGGTGATTATCAGAGATGAGTCTGAGAATGTCCTGGAGGGGCACCTTCTGGGCCCTGTGCTGCCTCTTTTATCTGGAGAAACTACGGTCGTTCATTGGTTGAAAGTTTTTCGGGCATTCGAGACCCATGTGGGGTTACCCTGCCCTACCAGTTCCCGATTGGCTGATCAAGGTGGAGGATGAGTAACAGTGCTCTCTGACCTTGGGATGAGACTCTCCCTTGGAATCTCCCAGACAGTAAGGCACCAGAGATTACCATTTATTAGAAGAATCTCAGCCTTGGGAGTTGTTCCTTATCAGGAAACTATCAGATAGTA